GGGCAGCTAAGGTAGTATACATGTCAATGGTGGCATTCATTGTACTTTTCCAAGATAGCCTTTTCTCTAGAAATGCTGGATTGACTATGAAATTGGTCACAGCAGAAAACAGACCAATGTTATTGTAATCAGTGTTGTTTTTTTGTAGTAGCAACTACAGATACCATTTGTCAGCAACACTGCAGTTGTGTCATATTGCATATTGGACTTCTGGCTTTTACAGATGGCAGTGACCAATTCTTGATAACTTCTTTCTTCCCAAGTAAATCAATGTACAAACCTCATCTTTTGGTTTCCAACTTCATTACTTACACTTTTGGACAACTGAGATGTAATCCCAAGAGGTGAAATATAGCATACAACCAAGCACCCCCTGCCATGACCAACCACATCTTCTTAGCCATCAAAAAGTTCTATGTAAATGTCATGATCATTGATGTTTTTTTGCCCCTTTGTGTTCTAAATTCTGTTTCGTTTAAGTGTTGTAAAATATTATTGTGCATTTGGTTCCAATCTGTTTGAAAACATAGACTAATCATTTTATTCTTGCTTTTCCTCATGTCTTATTGTACACCATGACAAGCTTCCTATAATTTTACCAATTTCTTTAAGTTGGTTAAACTTATGCTTATATACTTCAGTTTTTGTTTGTTGAGAACTTTGTAACCAATTTTGTACTTTTGGTAAAAAATAAATAAAATTTTATAACAAATCTATACACACTGAACAAATTAAAATATTAATTGAAATAAATGTATATAATTTCATCATTAAATTTTATGGTTAGTGATCTTGATATTTTTAAAAGCTGAATGCTCATGAGAAACCAAATAATATAATGTAAAATAGCTCTATTTTATGAAATGTAAACTCAATAGTTCAATAATTCTCACTTCTCAGTGACATGTTTTTCCAGATGTTTCACAATTGTCACTATGACTTAGAATAGTGATAGACTTTTTAGTGCACACAGAAGCTAATAATGCACTGAAGGATAGACCATAGGAGTTAATTGATAAGTACAGGGTATTAAGAAAAATAATCATAGAAAAGGGTCATAATAACTCAATTCTGTCGGGGATACTATTGCCAAGACTTAACTATGGGGATACAATTATAAGTGAATCACTAGGGCTAAATACTAGGACTAAGTTAATAAGTAATGAAGAGCAAGTTGACTGGTTGGATTTCTGGGATCAGTTCAATGGGAAGAGTGAGCTTTTTAGAATAGATGGTTTACATTTTAAATAGGGGAAGAACTGGCTTGTTTGCAAGGGCTATTAACTAAAATATAAGGACAACTTTAAACTTAGATCGGAAAGTGGAAATGGCCAGATTATGATGAAAACATAAGATATAGAGAGTTATAGTATGGAAACAAGAAACAAAAGTAGCTTTAATGGTAGGCTAAACTGTTATTATTGTAATGGCAGAAGTATAAGACATAAAATGGATGACTTTAGAACACTGTTCAGAACAGAAGATTTTGATATAATGGAAATAACTGAACCAGGTAAATGTAGACAATTTTGATTATATGAATTTCTTTGAAATACAGGGTTATAGGTTGTTTGATAAGGAAAGGGTACTAAATAGAAGGAGAGGAGTGGCTTTATATGCAAAATGTGAGTTACAGCCTGTTCAAGTTTAGGATATCAAAGCTAATAGCAGTAAAGTTGAATCTTTTTGGATTTCTGTTAGTTGTTATAAGAGGAAAAGGATTTTAATTGGAATTTGTTACAAACCACCTGATGAAACTAATAAAGTTAATGAGAAATTGTAAAGTGACATAAAGAATTCAACTATTAATATGGTTATAACAATGGGAGATTATAATTTCAGGCATATAGATTGGGAAATGACAGTATCAAATCACAAGGAAGACAAGTTTTTAGAAACTGTTTAGGATGGTTGATTAAAGAAGCTACCAGAAACAATGCTATTTTAGATTTATTGTTAACTTCTAGTACAGAAATTGTTGATAGGGTAAAGACTGGGGAACATCTGGGTGCAAGTGATCATTGCTCAATTAGATTTGATATTTTGCTGCACATGAAGATAAGGAATAATGTGATTTTGGTGCCACATTTCAAAAAAGCAAATTTTGAAGAGATAAGAATTATCTGCTTTGAACTGGGCAACCTGAGTTGGTTGGAAATACTGATAAATTGTGGATTTTTTTTTAATTTCTTAATTATTCAGGATAGGCATGTTCCTTACAGACAAAATAAAAGATTGTTGCAAGCAAAAAAACCAGGTTAGCTCAATATGGACATAAAGGATAAATTAAAGAAAAGCATTATAAATATAAGAAGTTGAAATTCACCACAATGACAGGAGATTTGGAGGATTATAAAAGATCAAGAGAGTTCATCAAACAGGAAATTAGGAAATCAGAAACATATATGCAAAACACTTGGCTGAAAATATAAAAATAAATAGTAAGGATTTCTTCTAGAACACTAAGGGTATGAAAAGTGTTAAGATGGGAGTAAAGCCTTTGAGAGATGATACCATAAAGCTAATATCTGAGGATTATAGGATAGCTTGGATATTCAATTCTACTTTTTCTTCAATTTTTACTCATGAAGATTTAAGCAATATTTCTTAAACTGAATAGTTGCTAGATGGAAACAAGATTGAACAAGATGATCACATTAATTCTGAGCCTGTGAAAAAAGTTGGGTAGTTTAAAGATTGATAAAACTCCAGAGTCAGATAATGTTTACCCCAGGGTTTTGAAAGAGGTTAATGAATAGATATATGAGCCACTTGCTATTATTTTTTCTAAGTGTTTGAATAGTGGGTATGTGCCAGAAAATTGGAAGTTAGCTAATGTTACTCCTCTTCTCAAAGGAGGTGATAAAAATTGTCCCAGTAACTCAGGCCTATTAGTTTTACATTGTGAAAGTCTGATAAAAGATGCTATGCAAAGTCATTTAACCAAGTTTAAAATTTTGTTGGATAATCAGCATAATTTCCCTGGGGGAAAATCTTGTCTTACTAATCTTCTGAGGTTACAAGTGTTGATTTGGTGTATCTGGATTTTCAGAAAGCATTTGACAAGGTGCCACATAAAAGACTTGTTAAAAAGTTATCTCTGTAGGTGAGGGGGATAGGTTGGTTCATTGGATTGAAAACTGGCTGTATGAAAGAAAGCAGACTTTTTATAAATGGAGTTCAGTCAAACTGGAGTACCTCAGGGCTCAGTATTAGGACCTTTCTATCTTTGATTTATATCAATGACATAGATAAAGGAATGGTCAATAGATTATTTAAATTTGCTGTTAAGAGGAATCTGCTGCTTTACAAAAGGATTTAGATCATTTAGTAATTTGGGAAAATAATTGGCAGATGTGTTTTAAGTATAATAAATGCAAAATAATGCATGTGGGTTATCAAAATGTGAATTATAAATATAATTTGGATGGGAATAACCTTAACAGTGTCATGAAAGAAAGGGCTCTTGTTGTAATGGTTGATCAGTCTCTTAAGCCATCCAAGCAGTGTGCTTGTTGCTAGTGATAGGGCAAAAAGGATTTTAGGTTGTATCTAAAAAAATATTGAATACATGTCTAAAGAGGTTACAATTTCTTTGTATAGGTCACTGGTTAGGCCACATTTGGAGTATCGTGTTCAGTCTTGGGCTCCTTACCTCTGAAAGAACATTGAATTGTTGGACAGGCAAGGTAGGAGTCATCTTCAGCTACAACAGTACATTTAAGTGAGTTTAAGAGAATGCTTGATAACTATATGAATGATAAGGGCTGGCTTTAGGATTTTTATTTATTTCAATTTACTTATTTAACAGTTTTAGTTTAGTTTAGAGGATTGGACAGCTGAGATGTTATGTGGGGTATCACACTTTCAAATATGAGTATAATTTTGACGAGAATAACCTCAACAGTTTTATGAAACAAACATACCTTGTTGTTCTGGTTGATCAGTCTCTTAAGCCATCCAAGCAATGTGCTGTTGCTAGTGGCAGAACAAATAAGATTCTAAATTGTATATATACAGAAATATTGAATAGAAGTCTAAAGAGGTTATAATACTATTGTATAGGTCACTGGTTAGGCCACATTTGGAGTATCGTGTTCAGTCTTGTCAGTTCTTGAAAATTGTTCAGAGCACTAATAGGATGATACCTGAAAGATGGAAAAGTTATTATGCAAGGATAGGTTAACACCTTTGTACTTGTTTTCACTTGAAAGAAAGAAGAGTTAGAGGGAATCTGAATGAGGTTTTTAAGTTTTTTTAAAGAAATTGAAGGTGTTGATGCATCATCTTTTTTCATATTTAATTGTGAGAATGATAAGACTAGGGGAGACAAATATAAATTTTGGTAGGATATGAGTCATCTTCAGCTAAGACCACTATATTTTTCTAACAGGGTGGTTGGCCTTTGGAATGGATTGCCTTCTGATTTGGTGGATGCAGTTAATCTAAAGGAATTTAAGGAAAAGCTTGACAGACATTTGAATGATAAGGACTGACTTTGAGCTTTTTGTTAATTTTTCTGGTTTAGTTTAATTTAGCGGATAGGACAGCCTAGATGGACCAAAGGGTCCCTTGTTGTCCTTTAACTCTTTCTGTACAGGATTGGTGGATTATACTGACCACAAACTAACCATCAATTTCTATACTATAACTTTTAATATGGTCCTGTATCTTCACAAAATTTGGCAAGCTTTCAGTAAATTTACAAGTCTTTTGTATACAAAAAAAAAATCAATTTTTTTAAAATATTTTTACTAAAGATCTGTCTGTGAATATATAGAGTCAAACTATTGACTGCTCCAAGTACAAAGTGGTTTTCATGTTAAGATATAAAATATTTTTTTCTATCTGAAAAGTTTTAAATTTCATTTGTGTAATTCTAAACTTTCCTAAATATGTATTAAACGTTTATTTTTTTCAGTTAAACATGTTTTATTTGTTAAATCTAATAAATCTAAATTGCCCATTTTTCTTTCTAGAAAGATCATCAAACTCTTATGAAACAAAACAACAAACTGTTTTATGAATTCAAATAAATTATAAGACTATTTCCATAAAACTCTTAAAAGCATTCCCCCCATTATCTGTTTCTGATGAGCTTCATTTACTATACTTGTACACACACAATTATTCAATGCTTCAATGATATTTTCAAGATATATAATATATATTTTAACTAAGAATTCTAAATGAAGGAAAAAAATCTGCTATTACTTTCTTGCATCTTATGCTGCATTTTTAAATGCTACAAGAGCATAACAACGAGGAGATGTCAGAGGGTTGAACAATTGTACAAGATGGGCTTTTTCAACACTAGTCTGAAAACAAAAGAAAACATTAGATACTTATTAACATATTTGCATTTTACATATAGTAAAGTTATAATGATTATTTATGTAATGTTGTTTCTATCATTAAATAATGCACAGCAAGATAACAAACTGAACATGACAATACACAAGTTTTTTATACTATGAATTTAAATGAAAATGAAATAGGGTTCAATAATAAACAACAATTTGCTTAGTGTCAACAGTAATGTTATAATACACTACTACTTAATTAAAATAAAAAAAAAACAGATTTTTTTTTCACAAATCTTGCTATAGAGTAAAAAGGTTCTACATGCTATGATATTAAAGAACATTTTCCCATTTTTTTACAGCTAAGTTTATACCAAAAATGATTAAGGATGTCTTTAAGAAAAAACATTTATATTATTAATTATATTAAAATGTTTCAGTTCAGTATATAGTTTGCAAGCTTCAGAGGAATTATTATTTCTCAAATGCTTATTGGCTTAGTCACAACTTTTTTTATGCTAAGTTCTGGTATTTATTCTAAATCAAAAACCTTTATTTGTATCATAACACAATATACAAATTAATTAAAAATAGTTCAACAGTTTCTGAAAAATCTCTATGTTCAAGGTACCTAATAAAATCTTTAATATTATTCAGAATTCATATCTTAAATTATTCTGACAAAAACTTACCATTTCATATAAAAACATTAGTCTATCCAACAAAATTAATGCTTCAATGCAAGGTGCTAAACACAACCTCAACTGTAAGAAAGCTCTGACTTTGTCTTCTTCAGGTTCATATTGTTTTAAATAGTTAAGAATCTCCTCATCAGTGATCTGATAAAAAAAAAAATGTTGGCCTATAGTTTTCTTATGATAGCCATGACTACTCATCTATACCCAATTATTTTGCTGGCCTTTCTATAACTTTACTTCTATAATATTAAACATTTATGTAATATTTCCAGCCTTTAGCTGTCTGTAACAGTTCAGTTTTAACCATTATAAACTTGTACCTTGAGAATGCAACACTTCTAAAACACCAGCTTTGCATTATCTCATTTGTTCTTATGGTATTATTGGACTGGATATTAGTGGAAGGTGACCTTCTCATGATGCTAGTCCAAATTTCTTCTACCCATGAGAATACAGAGTAGTCATTTTGCAAATTTCTGTTTGGCTATAGCTAGAGAGGCATTATTTCTTTGTTCTCTGTCTGAACATGTGTGTGTTCGTATCTTTGTAGTTGGGTTAGTCTTGTCCTGGATGTCAGACCATAGGTCTTCATGCAGTAAAGCCTAGTTCATCTGCTGCTAGGTTAATTGATATGAAATACTCAGTCAAGTACTATAGTTTCAAGTTTAACTGTATTTGTGTGTACAATGTTAATGTTTTCTTCTTCATATTGCACCACTTCAGATGATTTTGTTTTTAAGATCTTAAAATTCATCTCCAACACTAAAACAATTCAACCTTAATTCTTCAAACATCAGTCATTCACTGCCAGCTAAATCATTTTTGTATCATACTACAATATATACATGGACTAAAATTATTTCCCTAGTATTTGAAAAATCTCTAAGTTCAAGGTATCTTATAAGATCTTTAATAATATTCAGAATTCATATTTTAAATATTCTGACAGAAACTTACCATTTCATGTAAAAACATTAGTCTATCCATCAAAATTAATGTTTCAATACAAAGTGATTCACTGCCAGCTAAATCTTAAGTGTTCTTCTAGTTACTGCAGTTATGAATTATCTGTATGTAACTTTTCACTTAAGAATACCACAAACACAGCAGTTAATACAAATCATTTTAAAATATTTTACATCATGGAATTTTTGTTTAAGCATATGTGCTCAGCTATAACCCATTGACAACCCATCTGCTTGTTGAGGCTACTATCTAAATTAGATCTGATTTTACAAAGTTTTGTCATGATGTTTTAAGTTTAAAGTAATAAAAGTAATAAATATGCATGCAGAGTATTGTTTGCAATTTGTGGTAACAATTTGTATATCCAATCACCCTGCCTTTAGCGGTTCCTGTGACCTTTAACTGCACATATTAAATTCTTACTCCCTTGTAATTCGGATGAAGTGTTATGATTTGTGAATGTAGAAAAAAATATCTAAAAAAGATCCCTTTAGGGGTGATAATGCTATAAGAACTTTCCAGTGCTAACAAACAAAACAGTAATAAATTGTCCAGATTTTTGTAGATGTGACAACTGTATAAACATACGCCTCATCCAGTAGAATGACATACTTCATGTTGTCACATGTTAGATACCACTTATACAGCTTTTAACATTGGTCTTTCATTTGGCTATGTGCTTCGGGACAAACTTGTAAACACTGCTCTTGTGTGATCTTTTTATACGTAAATCTGTGGGAATTATCTTGCTTACAGTTCCAAGGGAAGTTTGTAGTTTAGCTGAGATGGCCCACTGTGTTACTTGGGTTACTTCTGGCCACAAGCTGCTTAACTTTCTTCATTAGGTTTGGTGTGCAACTGGTAGTTGGTCATAGAGTAGCTTTTTTTTTTTGCCATTTATTGAATCATGCTTTTCTGTGCTTTACTGATAGGGTTCAAGAATAAATATATCCCTTTTTTATGAAACCTTAAAATGTTATGCTTTTTCTAATCATGGAATAGAACACCTGATACAACATTTCAAAATCAATATAAAGCCTGTCACAAAAGTGTTTCCAAAATATTTATGGTAGTAGCTGGTAACAGCTATAATGGCAAGTTAATCACTACAAGATTTGAGAAAAATGTTGAATGGGGCTCTGTACACTATTGGCCTAACATACTGACAACACTACATTGTGAAGAAATAACAATATTTTTATAAATTGTATACTAATAAAGATTGGCTCCATCAAGACAATGCATCAAGCTACACATTCAGGTTAACATATAAGTATCTCAACACAATTCAAGTAGTATTGAGATGGATTCATGTTAAACCATTTATAGACACCTTTCATGGACTTCTTTGCCTTTTTAGTTGTTCAAACAAACCTATAGAAGTTTTCTCCCATACAAGATTGATGGTCTTTAGAAAGTCATTGATCTCAACGTATTATGAAGTCTGGAGTGGAAATCATACAACAGAGAAATAATCAATAAGCAGGGCCATCATGTAGAATACCATCAATGTAGTAAGAAGAGGCTGTAAGACCTAGGCACTCATTCTTGTGTCATTAACATAAATCATGAGAACTCCTCTCCATGTAAAATCATATAAGATTATCAGTATCATTAAAAGCTGTAAGTTTGTTTACTCTTAACTGCAATACTTAAAGTTATGGAATTGTAATTTTAAGTTACAATTGATATTGTAGATACAAATTTAGAAAAAGATTCATTCCCACCACATGAACCAGAAAAATTGTTATATTGAACTGTAATAAGTTCTCACTACCACTGCAGATAGTGATACACTTTTACCTTTATTCCTACTGAAATAATTATAAAATAATCAGTCAAGCACTACCATTATCTCATCCTTAAGTATCATTAGCATTAAACACATTATGTACTCTAACTTCCACTACAGATAGAGTTAACAACCAATGTTAAACTATGACACACTATCACTTACACCCCAGGTAACTATAATTCTTTGATCCATAATAAATATTGCATTACAGAAATGAAAACCATAATACTTTATGCACAATTTTATAAACACACTGTCATTTTAAGTACAGTTCATCACAGTAACAAAACTTATTTTTATTTCCTAAATATGCACCACGGGCATACAAGTTATTGTTATACTTAATATAGTGGTCTTCACATGATTGTTAAACTTTACCATAAGAATACTGATTTTTAAACATATATTATACTTCTAATTATCTTTGAATTACAAACAAAGATTCTATTATTAGGATTTAATAATTAATTTAGAGTTACTCCACTTTTTAAATGTCTTTATTTTGTAAAATCAAGACAAAAGTTAACCTAAAAAAATCTGGCAACAGACACAAATCAATGTGATAAAATGGCCATCTCAACAATTTTAATGCAAAACTTCTGTATTAAAGACCTTTTTTTGTATAACAAGAGTCATTTTGGAGGAATGAATGCATTGTACCTGACAAGCAGAATTATTAGCATTATAGAGTGGGCTCATAGAAGTCTCTGTGGTCATTATGCTAACTCCAAGAATATACCACTGATCATAATGAAGTAATTATGAGTATCACATCACATAAGACACCACTTAGGTGTTGTTTTTAGGAGGAAAACTTTTCATTAAACAAGTTAGGTTGATTCAAATCACCACTTACTCAAACTATATACATATATATATAATTCTTAATAATGTTTGTTGTGGAGGATAAATGCTCCATAAACTTCTACAATCAAAGTTTCTAACTAATCAAATATTTTATTGGTTCATTTACACAATCTGTTATAAAGAATTGACAAGAGGGTACCTACTTGACAATGTTGAAGGTTTGTCACAAAAACAAAGTGTAATAGTATGCGCATTAAATGGACTTTACTACAAAACATGATGAAAGAAGATGGAAAAGAATATAGAGAAAATAGCACAAGGTTTAAAGAAAGAAAGAAAACTGGGGAGAGAAGAAATGAAGGAAAAAATGGAGTATGCTTGAATATTTTGAGCAAAAATAAATTTCAAACTTTTTTTTTTCAGTAAAACTATATCTTATCTTTTATTTTCTCTACCCTAACTCTATTATGAGTTTATATAAGGTTGGCCAATTTGAATGACCTTGTAACCACCAGAAAAGAAAATCAAAATAAATCTATCTTACCTTTTTGTTCTTTCTAAAATGACTTCAAATTGTAACAGGAAACTACATTTATCATGAATAGCTTTAAACTAATAACAGTATATATCTGTTAATACTTATGTTTTATTACTCCTTTTTACTATATCTAACTAATATTCGTGCCATATAAGTTGTAAATCACTTGGCAGATGTGCAACTGACATTATGCACAAGCTCATGTACATTATTTATTTTACATAATCTAATCTTAACTAACTTAAAAAATTTCTTATTTTTACATTTTAGTTACTTTTATAATAATAATAAATAACAATTACACAAGAAAAGCAAAAAATAAAGTACTTATCCAGGCATTCTTTTATTTTTTCTGTCAACTGTAGATGACACTTAACCCTACTGTTAATAGGTAACAGAATAAGAATATGCAAAAAAGCAGATAAAATGTAGTATAACTATCACACTTTTTCTGGCTTTTTAACTATGCAAAAAGAGCCATTAAAAATTCATTTAAGCTCATCAATGTGTTTCCCATGGGAATAAAGCTTGAACTGAAAGCAAAACTGACAATTCTCTGTACAGAAAACAACATAATACATCATTTGATAGAGTAAAACCTTGGCTTTTTACCAGTTATAAATGATATAGTATTGAATGTCAGAGAGAACTATTGTCAATTTCTGAAAGAGAGGCTGTGTCAGGTGGGCATAGCAAGAGGGGGTCCAATTTTATATTCTATGGCTCTGCAACCAAACAAGATTGAAGGCTATGAAAATTATGTTTTTCCAGAGCCATGATAACATTATAATGAGTACTTTACATTAAACTTCACACTTCTTGAAAGGGTAGTAAATAAATTTGAGAAGAGGGGATGCCTTAAGAGAAAATGTCACAATTCTCATACTAGGGGAAATTCAATTTTTGTTTTTTTTAATATTGCCTTATAAAATTAAGAAATTAACAAGCATATACTATTAAAATATGGATTTTTGGCTATGCTTTATGCTATGTTTATTGGTATACCACAAAAATAAAGTAGTTTAATTAAATTTT